GAAAACATAACCCTGGTCACGTGTCTGGTCATGTGCGTGTGTTCGAGGCACGCTTTAAATTCGTATCGTTTCCGGTTGGTAGACGCTACACATCCGTTTTCTTTTCCTTTCATGAGATCCGTCAGATGAGATCAATTTTTATCGAACGTTCGATCGTGTGAAACGTCATTAACGACACTAATTAAGTACCTTAGCAAATTGGACGCTCTTTGTGCGGATTTTCTAATCGTTCACACGGTCGAAGGTTCTCGGCGATCACGTGCGAACACGCGAGATTATGAATCATTGCTGAATCCTTCCTATAAAACACCGTAAACGTGGTTTTGCTTAACCTGCTAACCGGGTTTGACGATTTAACTCGTCATTTGGTTAATTAAATTTTTCAATATATTGACAAATATTAATCATTATAATTTTTATATAATATTTACATTATTAATTAGAATAATATTTGAATGACTTATATTGTCATAATTAATAATATTCTGAAATAATACTAATTTCTTAGGAACAAATTTAAGATATTAAAGTCATTCTATTATGACAATTTTTAAAGAGAAAATTTATCGTATTTGTGCAAAAAATGAGTTTATTCTTGCGTAATTTATTTCTTTGAAAAATGTAGCTTTAATATTAAGAAATAATTTAAATAAAAGAACCCGGTTATCAGGTTAATCTCATTTCGAGTGGCAAAGTTTAATTAAAAAGCAAAAGATGGAACTGAAAGGACTCCATTCGACGCGTCCCATTTCCCATGATTCCTTGGTGAGATCACGTGAGCCAACGTTCAACAAAATGGCTGCTCCGTTTCCCGCTTAGGCCTTTTGCTTTCATTGACTCCGTTGTTCATCCTTTTGTTTCTCATCGTGGACGTCGTAAATTAAGATATTATTTAGTTCTTGGTGTGTCTCGCTGGCAGTTATTCGACCATCCAGAGAGTGCAGTGCCGTCGCTAATTAACCTTCCAAATGACCAAATCCCCAAATTTTTAAATAACCAAATCTCCAACCTTCTAAATAACCAAATCCTCAAATGTCAAAATAACCAAATCTCCAATCTTCCAAATGCCCAAATCCCCAAAGGTTAAAATAACCAAATTCTCAACCTTACAAATGACCAAAACCCTAAATTTCTATATAACCAAATCTCCCAATGTCAAAATAACCAAATCCCCAACCTTCCAAATAACCAAATCCCCAAATTTCTAAATAACCAAATCTCCAACCTCCCAAATAACCAAATCCCTAAATCCCTATATAACCAAATCCCTAACCTTTCAAATAACCAAATCCCCAAATGTCAAAATAACCAAATCCCCAACCTTCCAAATGATCAAAACCTCAAATTTCTAGATAACCAAATCTCCAACCTCCCAAATGACCGAATCCCTAAATCCCTAACCTTCCAAATAACGAAATCCCCAAATTTCTAAATAACCAAATCCCTAACCTCCCAAAGGACCAAATCACCAAATCCCCAATCTCCCAAATGACCAAAACCCCAAATCCCCAAATAACCAAGTCCCCAACTTCCCAAATGACCAAATCCCCAAATCCCCAAATAACCCAATCCCCAACTTCCCAAATGACCAAATCCCCAAATCCCCAAATAACCCAACCCCCAACCTCCCAAATGACCAAATCCCCAAATCCCTAAATAACCAAATCCCCAACCTCCCAAATGACCAAATTCCCAAATCCCTGAATAACTAAATTCCCAACCTCCCAAATGACCAAAACCCCAAATCCGTAAATAACCAAATCCCCAACCTCCCAAATGACCAAATTCCCAAATCCCTGAATAACTAAATTCCCAACCTCCCAAATGACCAAAACCCCAAATCCCTAAATAACCAAATCCCCAACCTCCCAAATGACCAAATTCCCAAATCCCTGAATAACTAAATTCCCAACCTCCCAAATGACCAAAACCCCAAATCCCTGAATAACCAAATCCCCAACTTCCCAAATGACCAAAACCCCAAATCCGTAAATAACCAAATCCCCAACCTCCCAAATGACCAAATCCCCAAATCCCTAAATAACCAAATCCCCAACCTTCCAAATGACCAAATCCCCAAATCCCTAAATAACCAAATCCCCAAACTTTCAAATTTCCAAATTTCGACCTAAAAAAATATAATGCACAAATCTGTAATTTGCAAAACTCGTAAATATTTGAATAAATCTCTAAATAAATTTCCAACCTTCTAAACTATAAACTCAGGGCCCAACATTGCGCGGGGCCCCGCAGTCTCTATCGACGGCACTGCAAGACATCGTTGCAAAATGGAAGGAAATTCCTCGTTCGACGAAATACTCTTTCTTCTGTCAGTCCTTTCGTTAAACAAAGAAATGGAAGATATTTTTGTGTCGCAGTCGATCAGTGAAGACTTTCGTTGACCTCTAGTTATATTTTGAGCTTGATTTGTGCGATCTTTGACATCTCGTGCGCAAAATGCCGACGAATTCGTAACCTCTTGGTATGAGAATGAATCGAGATCGTTTGGAGAGGTTTCGAGGGTGAATTAGCTGAGTTTTAATTATGTACTAATTCGATTGTCTGGATCAACCTTGAACTACTAATGCAGCGCGGGTATATTTAAACGAACGTCGATAGAACGAGGAAGAATATTCGAAAAATAGAGGTCGACGATGTGTCGCATTAGCGATTCAAGGTTGAGTACATTTATTGGTCGACTGAATGTCCCTGGATCTTTTGTTTGCGAGATTTGATCGACTTGCTAATTCAATTAATCTCCGTCGAATAAATTCGTGCAGTTCTTTCACGTTGATTAGCATTTATCGGTGACGTAACTAGGATCCTTGTTCAGGGTGGACCGGGTACTCTATATTTGCTAATAATGGCAACGTTGGGTAAAATTAGAGTCAAATACGAGCAAGTTAATTTTGGAGTGTGGGTAATTTGGGATTTGGATGTTGGAGGTTGGTGAGTGAGAATTTAGGGATTTGGAGATTTGGGGATTTTTGGTAGATAGAGGATTTGGAGATTTGGGGCTTTGAGAATGGGATGATTTGAGAGTTTAGACATTTGGGAATTTGGGGATTTGAAAGTTTGAAAACTTAAGAATTTGGAGACTTAGTAATTTGGAAATTTTAGAATTCAGGGATTTAGAAATTTGGGGATTTTTAGGCTTCGCAGTTTGAGGATTTGGGGAATTTGGAGATTTGGGGCTTTGAGAATGGGAAGATTAGAGGGTTTGGGGATTTTTTAATTTAGGTATTTGGGAATTTGGGGATTTGAAAGTTTGAAGGCTTAAGAATTTGGAGACTTAGAAATTTGGAAATTTTAGAATTCAGAGATTTGGAAATTTGGGGATTTTTAGGCTTCGTAGTTTGAGAATTTGAAAACTTAGAGATTTAGGGCTTTGAGAATGCGAATTTTTGAGAATTTAGGAATTTTTTAATTTAGGGATTTGGGAATTTGGGGACTCGAAAGTTTGAAGGATTAAGAATTTGAAGTCTTGGAAATTTGGGGATTTTTTACTGAGGGGTTTCAGAGTTTGAGAGCCTGGTAATTTAGGAAACCAGAACTGAAAGATTTGAGAACTTAGAGATTTTTAAATTTGGGGTTTTAAGAATTTGGAAGCGTGGTAATTTGGGAAACTGAGAATTAGTCTCACCCCCTCTAGTTACATCACCGACCCAAGCAAATCGAAAAAAAATAAATGCAGTGTTTCTCCAAAAAATGGCGGGTAAATTCTGAAAACTATCGATTCAAATACCACGCCATTTTCCTTCCCGCTCGAGCTATCTACAACTTAATTACTTTTGTTAAAGAATGAGATCGTTTTATCGATGTGTCAACGCTATACAAATTTCCTGCTACACAAAAAGTACCACAACCTTAGCAATAAATTCAAAAATCCCATACTTGAAACAAAGAAATGTCCAAAACAATCACCATGTTTAGGTTAGGTTACGGTACTTGCCATGTAACAAGAAATAACCTCCAACCTTTCAACCCTGAACGTTTTATTCCTAAATAACCTCTCAATACTTACAAACGAATACTCTACAAACGAGATTTCTTTTAGCTAATAAATCACTTCTCTGTTCGTGGTCCCGTTGCAGAAATCGTCCATCCGTTCAGTACTATAAATAAAATGAAGCAAAGGTGACGCATTTATTTTTCCCGGGCGTGAAAACGTTGAAAACGAACGAAATCTCGTCGCGGAGTATTCGTTGTACGGTGAGGTTCGTTTACCAATATTGCTTCTCTCGACCAGCTTTCGCTTTCGAGTGCAGCGAACTTTGCTGCCATAACTTGGGATACAATTTTTTTATTTTTTATGAGATTTGAAATTTGGAGAGTTAAGGTAAAATGTAAGATATTGATTAAAACTAAATTTAGGGATTTGGAGAATTTGAGAAATTTGGGGAATTTGGGAAATTTAGAAAATTTGGAGAATTTGGGGAATTCAGGGATTTGGAGGAATTTGGGGAATTTAGGGAATTTGGGGATTTGGGGGAATTTGGAGAATTCGGTGAATTTGGAGAATTCGGAGAATTCGGAGAATTCGATGAATTTGAGAAATTTGAGGAATTTGAAGAATTTAGGAATTTGGGGATTTCTGAATCTAGGGATGTGGGAATTAAGAAACGTGGAAATAGGGAACGTGGGAATTAGGGAACGTGGAATTAAGAAACGTGGAAATAGGGAATGTGGGAATTAGGGAACGTGGAGTTAAGAAACGAGGAAATAGGGAAAGTGGGAATTAGGGATCGTGAAAATTAGGGAACGTGGGAATTAGGAAACGTGTGAATTAGGGAATGTGAAATTAGGGGACGTGTGAATTAGGGAACGTGAAATTAAGAAACGTGGAAATAGGGAACGTGGGAATTAGGGAACGTGGAATTAAGAAACGTGGAAATAGGGAATATGGGAATTAGGGAACGTGGAATTAAGAAACGTGGAAATAGGGAATATGGGAATTAGAGAACGTGGAATTAACAAACGTGGAATTAGGGAACGTGGAATTAAGAAACGTGGAAATAAGTTACGTGGGAATTAGGAAACGTGGAATTAAGAAACGTGGAAGCAGAGAACATGGGAATTTCAGAACGTAGAAATACAAATTAGACCCCGAAATTTACAAACTACCCCAAATTTTCAAATTCCAATTTCATAAAACTCCAAACTAAATAAAATTCAAACACCAAAATTGTTCATATCCCAAGTTACAGCAGCCATCTCGCAAAGACTCGCAAATCCAACTACAAAATCGTTCGACGGGTGTACGTTGATAAAAAGCGAGACAGAGAGAAGGGTAAAAGCGGAGGGAGTAGTAGCAAAAGAGCAGGGAGAGAGATGAGAGAGCTCGAACAGGGAGAGCGTAGTCGCGGTTCGTTTGAAACAGGGGAGAAAGAGAGATCATCGCAAAAGACGATGGAACTTAGGAACTTCCTTGAAAGATGAACGTCATCCCCGACCGACCCGCTTGCGTTCCGATTCTCGATCCATGCCTTTATGTCACGTGAACGAGCGTGTATACCAAAAAAGTGTTTTGGAAGGAAGAGTCAATGATCGCCGGGTATGACCAAGTGCCAACTTGTCGGCAGCTACGATCTCCGCTACCAAATTGTCCACAGATCAACCGCAAGTCGCTACTTCCTGTGTACTGTGCGTCTGACGAGTTGGCTGGAAGCTACTCTTGGTGAACAACTTGCCAGACGTTGGAATTTAGATATTTATGGTTTGAAGTCCGATTCTCGAATTTTTAAATCTGGAGACTTTTTAGAAACTGTTCTAAGGATTTTAGATGATGGAGGTTGAAGGTTTGTGAACTTAGGAAAGATAGGTTAGAATAGGAGATTTAGATATTTGATGAAAAGAGGATTTGAGAATTGGTGCATAGATTTGCAGATTTGGGGACTTTGCCAAAATTTAAAGATTTGAAAATAATATCATGAAGATTCAGATTAAAAAATTTGCAGATTTGAATCATACCGAACTTAGGATACCCACGTCTCGATTTGAAGATTTCGAAATTCGAGAAAAGGTGCATCAGAAACCAGGGAACTCGAAGACACGAAAGTTCCTAACTTTCTAGAGTGTCGACTGTGTACCGACTAAGTCACCCTGTGTAACTCGAAGATGATCTACTAGCAAGTACTTAGGGTCCTACAAGAACAAGATGGCCGAATGTGGACAAGAAGTCACTTGGTCATTCCATATCTCCGCGATCGTACGCGATCGTGCTTCGTCCATTCTCCGTCATCGTCTCGGTACCATTCCTTTCTCCTTCCTTCTCCCTATATTTTTTTCTTGTATTTGTTACTTTATTTTACTTTGTTCAGTCCATCGTGTCAAGTTCGTGCACGTTCGCGTCGCTGCGAGCGTGGTCACGTGGCCCCGAAATGGCGTCGCGTGGAAGAGCGATTCGCTTCGCTTCGAGAGTTAACTCTCCATCTTCTTCGTGTTCTCCTTCGTTCTTTTAGTTCGTTCGTGAAACGAACTCGCGTCGAGAGGAGAGATTCGGGGTGTTTTCGACCCCAGCCTGCTTGCTCTGCCGGGTGTTTTCGTCCATCGACGAACCCGCTGCGAGAGGGTGTTGGTCCGCTGCCACCCCATTTCGCGTCGCGGCGCGATTACGTGGTGCCCTTTTTGCCCTTCGACTTGCCCACGCCGTGGTCCTCGCTGTTCGAGCCGCTACTCAGTCGGGCTGCCAGACGTTGGAATTTAGATATTTATGGTTTGAAGTCCGATTCTCGAATTTTTAAATCTGGAGACTTTTTAGAAACTGTTCTAAGGATTTTAGATGATGGAGGTTGAAGGTTTGTGAACTTAGGAAAGATAGGTTAGAATAGGAGATTTAGATATTTGATGAAAAGAGGATTTGAGAATTGGTGCATAGATTTGCAGATTTGGGGACTTTGCCAAAATTTAAAGATTTGAAAATAATATCATGAAGATTCAGATTAAAAAATTTGCAGATTTGAATCATACCGAACTTAGGATACCCACGTCTCGATTTGAAGATTTCGAAATTCGAGAAAAGGTGCATCAGAAACCAGGGAACTCGAAGACACGAAAGTTCCTAACTTTCTAGAGTGTCGACTGTGTACCGACTAAGTCACCCTGTGTAACTCGAAGATGATCTACTAGCAAGTACTTAGGGTCCTACAAGAACAAGATGGCCGAATGTGGACAAGAAGTCACTTGGTCATTCCATATCTCCGCGATCGTACGCGATCGTGCTTCGTCCATTCTCCGTCATCGTCTCGGTACCATTCCTTTCTCCTTCCTTCTCCCTATATTTTTTTCTTGTATTTGTTACTTTATTTTACTTTGTTCAGTCCATCGTGTCAAGTTCGTGCACGTTCGCGTCGCTGCGAGCGTGGTCACGTGGCCCCGAAATGGCGTCGCGTGGAAGAGCGATTCGCTTCGCTTCGAGAGTTAACTCTCCATCTTCTTCGTGTTCTCCTTCGTTCTTTTAGTTCGTTCGTGAAACGAACTCGCGTCGAGAGGAGAGATTCGGGGTGTTTTCGACCCCAGCCTGCTTGCTCTGCCGGGTGTTTTCGTCCATCGACGAACCCGCTGCGAGAGGGTGTTGGTCCGCTGCCACCCCATTTCGCGTCGCGGCGCGATTACGTGGTGCCCTTTTTGCCCTTCGACTTGCCCACGCCGTGGTCCTCGCTGTTCGAGCCGCTACTCAGTCGGGCCACCCGCCGGTACAGCTCGCTGTTCACGAAACGGGGGTACGAGTCCCGGTGCATCAGGGTGTAGATCTGCAGCTGGGCGTCGTCGAACGTGTGCGGCGTCGGCTGCACCATGTTGCGGTTCACTATTTCGCGCACTTGTGAGTCCAGGCTCACCTGAAAATTTAATTAAACTATTAATTAAACTCTACTTCTATAAAGCTTCTACGACTTCGATTATACCCAGATACAAGTATAAATCCCATAGCTCAAATATAAGTATTGCTAGCTTGTAAGATGGGTTCAAATATCGAGACAGGAAAATTTTCTTTAAATTGTAGTTTTAAACAATTTCTACAAGCTGGACTATACTCAAGTGCAATTATACTCCAGATGTTTATATGCAAAAACATCCAACTGCACCATAGTTCAAACTTAGGTATTGCTTGTTGAAAGAAATGTACAATTATTGTGATGATCAATGTCATGACCAATTATTGCACTAGCAATGATTATCTATCAATGTGGCAGGAGAATTTTAAGCAAAATTTATAATATGAATGTTTAATTTGCAATTTGAAGTTTAGGTCTGATTACAATGTGCAGAGTCAAAGATCTCTCAGTGCAAATATTTATAAATATTTTTTTCTTTATCTGTTTCAACCCCTTACACTTTTTTGACGAGTCTCTTGACTCACTTCAGCCATGATGAATTTTACTCGAAATTTTGATATCCTTCAATTTGGAGTTCAAGTCTAATTTAGCATCAAAGACTGCATAATACTAAATTGACATAAAATTTCAAGTTTCATTATCTGTTGAATATTGTAGCTGTGATTAGTTAGCTTTGATGCAACTAATAAATGAACCATAGTGCAAGGGGTTGATATTGTAGCAATGACACATTTAAGTCAGATAAGAAGTTAACTAAACGTGCTGTATGATTACTTTAAAATTAAAAATGAAGTTGATAAATGAACAAACAACATAAAAATGAAATTACAACTTAAAAAACAACTTGAAAATGAAAATTTTACGAAAAGCATCCTAACCAAATGTAATATATATTTTGAAACTAAAGTCATATGTAAAATGAACCTATAGTCATTTGAAAGTTTTAAAATTGCAACTCACTTCTTTCGGCGAGAGTATGGATATGTAACGCTCGTAGATGAAGCGCGCCTTCTCCTCGATCTTCTCAGGGTTGCTCTCCCGCTTCAGTTGCTCGCACGCCAGCCAGAACGCGATGTTCTCTTCACTGTACTCGCTCACGAGGAACTCCCTGAAGAACTTGCGACCCGCTGGATTCCTCATCAACTTGTCGAACGACGATCCCCAGGATCTGATCTCCTCCAGGCTGCACTCCCCATTACCGTCGAGGTCGTCCAGCCCGTCGAAACCGTTCCCCGCGCCTGCACCCCCCAACTCTCCGTGAACGCCGACGCCACCCCATTGCTCGTTGCCGACGCCCGCGTTGCCCTTCTTCTTCCCTTGGTCACCACCGCCTCCTGCACCCCCCGAGTTGCCACCCACTGCCGCCAGACTGCAAATTCAATCGCACGAAAGCTTTTAGTCTTGCTTCTCTCACCCTTTCGAGTTTGTTTTCTGCACGGATTTTCTCTTCTTGGATTTAATTTATGGGGTTGGAGGATTTTTTAGAGGTGTGGATGGGTTTTTTATGGGGATGGTTTGGGGAGAGGGTAATGGATAATTTATATGATTTTACAAATTTAGAAATGGTCAGGTTGTTGAATTTTGAAATGGTTCTAAATTTCAGAGAGATGAAATTTCAAATCCCAAAATTTCTATATTTATGAATTCTAAATTTGGTAAATTCTTAAACCCTCTAATTTCAACATTCTTGAATTCTAGATGGGCTAAATTCTCAAACCCCTAAATTCCAATATTCTTGAATTCTAAAATCCCTAAATTCTCAAATCCCCAAATTGCCACATTCCCAAATATCCAACTCCCCAACTTCTCACATTCCAAATTTCTAAAATCCCCAAACAGCCAAATTTCCGAAACTTCTCAAATTCCCCAAATTCTCTAAATTTCCCAAATATCCCAAATTTCCAGAATTCCCCAAATTTTCCAAACTTTCCGAATTTCCCCAATTCCCCAAATTCCCCAAATTCCCCAAATTCCCAAGAATCCCCAAATTCCCAAGAATCCAAAAAATCTCCAAATTCCCCAAATTCCTCCAATTCTCAAAATTCCCAAGAATCCCAAGAATCCCAAAAATCCCCAAATTCCTAAAAATCCCAAAACTCCTCGAATTCCCTAAATTTCCATCTCCTCAAATTTTTAATTAATCAAATTTCCAAACTTCCAAATTCTAAATTTAAAACCCAAATCTCCAAAAAAAACCGTCCCCAAAATATCCCCAGCACAAAGAGCCCTCGACCCGCTCTTTCGTTTGATCTCCTCGCGCTGTTTCAAAACCTCGAACAAATGTTATCGCCACGCGATAAAGCGACAAAACGTTGTTTGAAAAAAATATCAGAGAAAACAGACCGAACGAAAACAACAATGCAGCGAAGAAAAAAGGTAGATACGCTCTCGCAACAATACAGAGAGCGATAAATCGAAACAAACAGTTCGGTAAACAAAATGAAAATAAAACTGGTGGGTCGCTTTTCTTTGCGTTTCCATTATTCCGGAAACTTGGTCGTTTCATTCCGCAAACACTCGCGCGAGCACAGCGATAACGCTGGAAGAGGAAGAAGAAAGGTTCTGGGATAAATAAGCGGATGGAACGCGACCGGAAATACGGTCTGTCGTCGTTTAGATTTCCGTCGAGGGTGGACACGTGTTACGCATCCGGAGGGTTTGTATTGCTTACTGTCCTCGGTGGTGCGTAATCTATCGACCCTAACTCGGTTATCTCTATTGTTGGGGAAGATACTACTTTGCTTCCTGTTTGTGGATTGTGTATTTGTAGATTCAGATTTGATGATAAATGAGATGTTTTGGGTAAAGATGGGATTATGTGATGTGTAGAATGTTTTTCGTATTTGTAGATTTGAAAAGCGGGGGGTTATGGGATAGTAACCGTTCGATAAGTGTAGGCTCGCTTAGTTTGCGGTGGAAACGTTTCTTATATGTTTACGCAAATTTTTTACTTTTTCATGATTTTTTAAATTTAGATTCAAAGTCGATGGTAAACGAGAGATTTTAGGATAAAGATGGGATTATATGATGTGAAGAATGATTTTGGTATTTGTAGATTTGATGGAGCAGGGGGTTATGGGATAGTGACCGTTCGATAAGTGCTCGCTCGCTTAGTTTGCGGTGGAAACGTTTCTTATATGTTTACGCAAATTTTGTACTTTTACATGATTTTTTGCTTTTAGATTTAGATTCGATGGTCAAGGAGAGATTTTGGATAAAGATTATGTGATGTATAGAATGATACTCGATTTTGGTATTTGTAGATTTGACTGCGGGGAGTTTATGGGATAGTAACCGTTCGATAAATGCACACTCGCTTAGTTTGCGGTAGAAACGTTTCTCATAAATATACATTTACGCTTGCAAACTTTTTACTTCTTCACGAAACTATAAATTCGATTCTGCATCATTCAATTTCAAAACTAAAATCCGTAGAATTGAATTGCAGGGAATTCAAACGCGTAGAATTGACTTGTATAAAATTGAAACCCATGGAATTGAACCGCATCGAATTCGAACACGTAGAATTGACTTCTACAAAATTGAAACCCATGGAATTGAACCGCACCGAATTCGAACGCGTGAAATTGACTTATATAAAATAGAAACGCATGGAATTGAACCGCATCGAATTCGAATGCGTAGAATTGACTTCTACAAAATTGAAACCCATGGAATTGAACCGCACCGAATTCGAACGCGTGAAATTGACTTATGTAAAATTGAAACCCATGGAATTGAACCGCCCCGAATTCCAACGCGTAGAGTTGACTTATATAAAATCGAAACCCATAGAATTGAACCGCCCCGAATTCGAACGCGTAGAATTGACTTATATAAAATCGAAACCCATAGAATTGAACCGCACCGAATTCGAACGCGTAGAATTGACTTATATAAAATAGAAACCCATGGAATTGAACCGCCCCGAATTCGAACACGTAGAATTAACTCCCACAAAATTGCAGTACGTAGAATATCATCACTCAAAATTAATACATATAGAATTGAATCATATAAAATAAAAACCCCCATAACTGAACCTCACAGAATTGACCTGCATCAAATCAAATAAACTTGAACCAAGATAATGTGAATCAAAGTACATCGAATCCCCCATAATGCACGTTCAAACCTACTTTTATAGAAGCACCAGTGGCAATGTACAATAACCACACCGATGCGAAATAATAAAAAGAAAGCATCGAGGATTCCAACGGTGTATTACAATAATAAATGCTTACCATTTATTCCTGTACGCGGCATGAAACAGAAAAATAGTGCACATTGGTACGTCTGTTCGTAAATTAGGTCGTGGCTCGGTTTTCAAGACAATGGACTGACATCATTCCGCTGACGATTGCATTACGAAACGCGAACGATAATGGCTTGTCACGCGGCAGGATATACGAGTTATCACGCGACGCATTCGAGGATCGATTGTCGTGTATGCTCGAACGTGTCCCTTCATTTAGCGATGGATTGGCTGACGGCGAAGCCGAACACGTTTTGATTCCCGTTTCTTTCTTTCCGTTCGTTTGTAACGAGTCTGATGGTCCATTGTCGCTGAAGAGCTTTCGATACTCGCCACGTATTGGCATCGTAAGAGGAATGGAAAAATCGTTCCGACTGATGTCAACCCACGAGTTGGCGCGTGACCCAAAAGAATCCATTATGGACACTTGCAGTTACATTTCGGCAAGTGGGAATAATGACAACTGCTGAACGCGAGTAGCATCTCGCTCTCGAGACGTGTCGTTTTTCGCCTGATGCTCGAGACAATACCGAAAATACGTGTGAGGCGTACATTTTTCTATTCTGAACAATTGTAGCTCTTCTAAACATGTCACTCTTCACGCGACGACGGTATAGGTATGTAGATGTAGAGATTCGGGGATTATAGGACTTGGATATAGGGAGTGGATATTGAAATTTGGTGATATAGGATTTGGAGATGCGGATTTGGAAATACGAGGTTTGGAGATATGGGGATGTAGGAATTTGGGAATATAGTGAATTGGGGCTGCAGCGATTTGGGTATGTGAGAATTTTGGAATATAGGAATTTGGGAATGTAGGGATTTGGGAATGCACGGATTTGGAGATGTAAGTATTCGGAAATGTAAGGATTCGGAAGTGTAGAGATTCTGGAATGTAGAGATTCGGGATGTAGAAATTTTAGGATATAGAAATTTGGGAATGTGGGAATTTATGGATGTAGAGATCTAGGATATAGAGATTTACGAATGGGGTCTCTAAATTTGGAAAAGTAACTCTTGTAAACACCTGGGTCGAGCTCTTCATGGGCCAACTCGTGGGTTGACATCAGTATGTATTCATCTTTGAACTGTATCACGACATTCGTGGGAATTCTCATTACAGTTTTGTCGACTCTGGTACTGGTTAACTAACTAATAATTATTATTGTAATTGACCATTAAGAATAAATTCCATACTCAATGAATAAATTCGATAATAAATTTGAAAGTGAAATAGAAAATCTGTTAGGTTGCAGAATACATCTGGTGATTTACAGGGTGTTTCAGTAAAATTCAGTAAACTTATTATAATTCAACAACTAATGAAAAATAAATAAACAACCTACATATTATTTATTGTGTAAAATGAAATAAGTACTCAAATTAACATTATATCAACACTATTTTAAAATCGCAAATGTTCAAACGTTAAAAATGTTCACATCAAATTATCAATACAATCAAACTTGCTATTATTTTCCTACATGATTAATATCTAAAATGCATATACAAGATCACAACCCGCGGTGAATAATTTAGTAAACATACTTCAAAGTCAACCAGACGCGAATAACCACTTAAACATAGTCTCTAGACATAATCTCTCGGAATCCCACAAATCTCGTGTTTCCTGCGTGCAACTCGAGTGTAGGTCGCAACCGTGATATAGTGAGATCATAAATTAAGCAAGGAGCAACAGCTAGTGATGTTAGTTGGGACAGTATGTCATGTTCCACTTTCGAATTCCATCAAATGTATACAGAATGATCCACAATTACTGTGAAAGTCGAAAGGGGTGGTAGGTGGGGCAATTCTGAATTTTTTTGCAATTTTTAATTCTTATATTTATAAATAGGTAGATGACTAAATTCATAGGTGTGCAAGTTTTGGGGGTCTCCAAATTTCTAAATTCTCAAATTTCAAGGTTTCCAAATTCCTACGCTTCTAAATTCCTAAATCCCTAAATTTCAAGGTTCTCAAATTCCTACGCACCCAAATTCCTAAATCCTCAACTTTCAAGGTTCTCAGAATTCTAGGTTCCCCAAATTCCTACGCCTCCAGATCTCAAGGTTTCTAATTTCCTACGTCTCCAAATCTCAAGGTTCCCAATTTCCAACGTCCCCAAATCTCAAGGTTCCCAATTTTCCACGTCCCCAAATCTCAAGGTTTCCAAATTCCTACGCCCCCAGATTTCAAGGTTTCCAAATTCCTACGCCCCCAGATCTTAAGGTTCCCAATTTCCCACGTCCCCAAATCTCAAGGTTTCCAATTTCCCACGTCCCCAAATCTCAAGGTTTCCAATTTCCCACGTCCCCAAATCTCAAGGTTCCCAATTTCCCACGTCCTCAAATCTCAAGGTTTCCAATTTCCCACGTCCCCAAATCTCAAGGCTCCCAATTTCCTACGTCCCCAAATCTCAAGGCTCCCAATTTCCTACGTCCCCAAATTCCTACACCCCCAAATTCCTACGTCCCCAAGTTCCCACGTCCCCTAATCCCTCATTCCTAAATCCCACATCCCCGAATCCCATATCCCCAAATCCCACATCTCCACATCCCTCATTCCCAAATCCCACATCCCCATATCCCACATCCCCAAATACCTAAATCACCCTACCTATATTCCCAAATCCCCAAATCCCCAAATCTCAAAATTCTCATACCCTCAATATTCTAAATTCCCAGATCCCCAAATTCCTACATCCCCATACACCTAGACTCCCAAATCCATCTCCCCAAATCCTTCTACTCTCAAATCCACCTCCCCAAATCCTCCTACTCCCAAGTCCCTCCATCCCCAAATCTTCCTATTCCCAAGTCCCCCATCCCCAAACCTCCATTTCCAAAATTTGACCCCACAATTCCCTACATCATCCCTACTCCTCCTTCTCCCACTCCTAATTCCCCAACATCTTAATTTTACGATCTCGCTACATCACGTAAGTAGCACATAATATATAGAGAGGAACGGTAATACCACGAGCAACTACAACAACAGCACCAGCAGAGGCAGCAATTGTCCTTCTTCGAGCGGCCGGCGATCCCCGATCCTTGGCGCTGTTGTTGCTGGGACTGTTGTTGTTGCGAGGAGGGCGGCTGTTGTTGCTGTTGCTGCAGCTGTTGTTGCTGCTGTTGCTGCTGCTGGGAGGACTGCTGCGTATTGGCCGAGGAGCCGGACGCCTGGCTCTGGCTCTGCGCGCGTAACCGGCACCCACCGGCGACGCCCTCGCCGCCCCCTGGCCCGTGACTAACGCCGATCCCCATTGCAGTTGCACCGATTCCGCTCGACATCTGCAAACGATATCTCGTCTGGTCAGCCAGCCGGTATCGTGCCGTCGCTAAAAATAAGCGCGGAGTCGCTTAGGCGATCGACGCCTATCGACCTTAACCTTCTGATACGCGAAACTTGGCCTAATCTCTTTCCGTGCTCTGAGGAGTTTCACTCGTAACGCACTTATAACTCAAATGGGACGCACCTTACTCAAATTTTAAAAATTCTTCAACTTGAAATTTGGGTCCAAGTATAAGGATCCCTGAATATAAAATAGTGGCATTTTAATTTTCTTTGTACTCTTTAATTTCAACGTTAAACGAGGTTTAGGTTAGGTTATATTAATTAGGATAGGTTAGTTTAGGGTAGCGACCTTGTCTCAACGTTTAGGTTAGGTTATATCATTTAAGATAGGTTAGGTTAGTTTAAGCTGGCGACTTTTTCTCAATTTTTAGGTTAGGTTATATTATTTAGGTTAGGTTAGTTTAGGATAGCTACCTTGTCTCAACGTTTAGGATAGGTTATATCATTTGGAATAGGTTAGGTTAGTTTAAGCTGGCGACCTTTTCTCAACGTTTAGGTTAGGTTACATCATTTAGGATAGGTTAGGTTAGTTTAAGCTGGCGACCTTTTCTCAACGTTTAGATCTGATTATATCATTTAGGTTAGGTTAGTTTAGCATAGCGACTTTGTCTCAACGTTTAGATAAGGTTATATCATTTAGGTTAGGTTAGTTTAGCTTAAGTTAGCGATCTTGTCTCAACGTTTAGGTTAGGTTATATCATCTAAGATAGGTTAGGTTACTTTATTATCGTAACTTTATCATCTTAGAACTTGTGGAAAATAATCTAGTAACACTACTTTAATGATAAATTAATAGTACTGATTTTTAGACAACACAAAACATTCTGTTAAAATAATTGAATAGTCTTGAAAAGAAACTGGAGCTAAATTAAAATGTACATTTATACTAAAATGTGTACAAATATTTATAATGTTAAAGTGCAACTTGATAAAACAATTAAATTAAGTCAAAGAGGAACTTCAAACAATTCTATCAAAATCATAAATGTATACCTAACAGTATTAAAAAATGCTATAACATTTGCTGTAACAATGCTTAAAAATGCTGTAATAGTTGTATTAAAAATTGTATTAAACCTAACTGTATTAAATAATGCTGTACAAAATTAAGAAATTAATCTTGCTCAAATATAAACCCAAAAAACAAATAAAATATAAAGCTTGAACAAAGAGAATAATTTCCAAAGGTAGAAGGAGCAGTTAATGCTACCTGAAGACAACACAAAATCCTCGTTCGTGTAAAAGTTATAGCATTAGCGCTATCGAGGGTGGACCTCCCCTCAGAGTTTTGATTAGGGCAATGTCATTAGTTAACACCGGAGATAGTTCGAAGAGGTAGAAGTGTTAATTAGAGAGAATGTCATCGATAATAAATGGGACCGTTAACGAGTGTTTGCCCATTAAAAGAACATCGAAGGCTTCGAGCAGAGGATTTTCTACCAAACTCAAATTAGCTGGGAATTAAATTCAACCCGGAATTTGTTCGAATTTAACCAAATGCTGAGGTCAATCCTCACGGGATAGCTTTTCAGAAAAATTAGCTGGGAATTAAATTTAAACCGGAATTTTTTCGAGTCTGGCCAATTGGCGAGATCTCACGGGATGGCTTTACAGAAGAATTCAAACAACCGGTTCACCGAGCAAGCCAAATCGGATCGCGATTTAATTTGAACACTTGAAAAACATCAGAGCCGAATCGCACGCGGAAGCACGATAAAGTCGTTAAGCTTTAATTGAAACAAGCTGACCGTACGGTAATTGACACATAAGCTCTCAAAAGACGGCCAATTTGTTTGCATGCGATTGTCGCACGGTCAGTTGCGCCCCATCGATCCTATGGACTCAAAGCGAATACGGAAAAAAGATTTGTCCTTTCGGTAATAATAAAAAATTGACATCAAAAAGAGTTCACGGTTTTAGATTTCTAATTGCTCGATCGCGTTTCGCTGGGGATTAAACGTGTCATGCAATAGAGTACTTATGGTTGGGGTTCATTTTTTAGGGGGTGAATTCAGTTCAGTCGAATTAGGAAGCGAGAGGATATAAAACTCGAGACAAATTTTATGAAAACCTCAGATGAACATAAAAATACATTCACAAAAAAATTTGGTATTTTTGATGCAAAATTTTGAAATAAATTTAATCAAATCTCCTGATGTATATAAAACTTGATTAAAAAAAAAATTTGCTGTTTTTGTTACAAAATTTTGATGCAAATTTAATAAAATCTTTAGATGCACATCAAAATTTATTTTAAAAAAAATATTTGTTGTTTTTGTTACAAAATTTTGATGAAAATTTAATAAGATCCTCAGATGAACATCAAAATTTATTAAAAAAAAAAATGTGTTGTTTTTGTTACAAAATTTTGATACAAATTTAATCAGATCCTTAGATGAACATCAAAATTCATTTAAAAAAAAATATTTGTTGTGTTTGTTACAAAATTTTGATGAAAATTTAATAAGATCCTCAGATGGACATCAAAATTTATTAAAAAAAAAAATATGTTGTTTTTGTTACAAAATTTTGATGCAAATTTAATAAGATCCTTAGATGAACATCAAAATTTATTTAAAAAAAGAATTTGCTGTTTTTGTTCACAAAACTTTGACACAAATTTAATAAAATTCCCAGAAAGACATGAAAATTTATAAAAAAATTAAAACTTTGTCTCTTTACAGAAAATTAAAATTTATAAATAATTGATGAAAATTTATAAGCAATATAGAAAATATAAATGAAAGAATTTTAATTTTAATTTTCTCTAAAAAGATTTTTAGAGAAGTTTGAAGGCTCTTGAAAATTTTTGATAATTTGTAGTGAGAGACTTGCATCACTGGGACACTGGTGTTCTATCTCCCTAAATTCCTACACCGTTAGTTCGAAACAAATTATCCCATCTTCAACGACTTCGTCGTTCCTCCTGAACATCGTTAACCCTTTCTGACCTACATCCGATGTAGACATCATACCTCGTCGTTAAATAAACCTAACTTGATTCGAACTTGCTAGCGGCTCTCCAAACAACCTAATCTTAATTCAAAACCAATAAGCGGAGAGTGATGCAATTTGTCGATTAAATTCTGTAATTTACATAATAATTTAATATTCGGTAATGTAGGAGGGTGAATATTCTTGCACGTATCAATTATATTTAAATATACTTTTTCTAGCAAGAACTGTAGAAACACTTATACATATAAGAAACATAATTCTTTGAAATGTTAAAACGAAAAATTGGACGGGGTTTAATAATAATTCTGTAGACGCTAATTTTTCAAAAGTTCTCAACCCCTTAAGACTTAAGAAATCTTTCAATTATACAGTAGCTGTTTTTCGAGACATTTAACAAATTTGAAATGATGAAAAAAGTAATTAAGAACTAATTTAAAAATGCAAGGGTTAATATATAAAGCACAAAATATTGTTCAACCACGTTTAACCCTCTAAAAAAATTGTATAACCCCTCAGTATTTTTGAAGGTATTCCAAGGATTTAAAATTGTACAAAAACTGATTGGATTCTCAAGTTCTAAAAAACAAATTAACATGTCAAGAATTCTTCAACCCTCTTAAGAAATCTCCAAACTTCCCCGCATCTTTTAAACACATCAAGAATTCAGAACTCTGCAACTAATTAAAAATTGATCTATAAATACAAAGTTATGACAGAATAATCCCTGTACGAAACACGTATTCCACCCTACAAATCTTTCAAGTCAGAATTAATTTTACAAGAACAGATATAAGATAAAATAGCAAACCGATCAATATGGAAAGATTTCTTTAAGCATCAACCCTTCCATGAACCATTTATCCGAGAGGAATTTATCGGAGCATTTGAAATCTTTCGAACAAGTTTCAAAAACGTAGAACGTAAAAGAAGAGGTAACGATGTTAAGAAGTTTTGAAATGAAGACCCCCTCTGAAGTAATTCAAAATAAAAATTTTAAACAGTTCTGTCACCCCATGAAATTTGTATAAATACAATAAAGGTCAATGTATCTAAAAAATTTGCCCAAACTATTCCATACAAAGTTTTCTAAACTATTTAAAAATGATGTAACATGAAATTGTTGTAAAAAGTTTTCGAACCTGAAGAACCCTAAAACCTCGTGGAGGTTTCAACGACCACAAAGAAGCGCATGCATGACCCTTCTCTCTCTCTACCCTCTTTCTTTCTCTGAGGGCCGCTTTATTTTTACGTCGCGTACATCGATGATCCGCTCCGCGAGCAGCTTCGATAACGAGCGTGCTCGAGTCGCTAATACGGGCTGTGGGCAGCGATTGATAAACAGCAGGCTTCGCGGGAATTCGTGCTTGTGAAAACTTGGTATCGAAATGGGGACATTTCATTACCACGATTTGGGAGAGGGTGAAAAAAAAAATTGAAAAAGGAGGGTTTAAAGGAAAATAAAAATAAATATGAAGATTAATTTGATAATTGTGCTGTGTTCAAAATTTATTATTATTTATCATTTTTATGGATTATTTTTGAGGTTCAAATGGTTCTTATAGTATGGTAGTATGGTTTCTTTGGTTTGTTCAAATTTTATTCAATTTTGTTGAGATTATACAGATTTGCCAAAGATGGAATAATTTCATTTTTAAGATAAAAGAATCGTATAGTTTTATGAGTCAGTTATAGGATTTCTTGAGAGAAGACAGAAGGAGTAGAAAAGTTTGCAAAATTTCTAATTTGAATATTTTGTAATTTGGAAACTTGATAAACCCCAGATTGTAAGGTTAATTCTTAGCCATCATTTTTATAATAATTACCTATAAATTAAAAGAGTATTTACTAAAGACAATTGTCAATATTCAGCTACCCACAAAAAGACTTCTTTCTCAAGTAATAAAATTTTGCAAAAATACAAGGGGTTGAAAAATGAAAATTAAAGAATGAAACAGAAGAAGATTAAAACACAAAGAATACAAATAAAAAATAATGATAACAATAAAAAAACTAATAAATAAGTATAAGAATTCACCCTACTCGCAACTCTTGAAACCTCAACAAAATGGTGGCTCCACCAACTTACAAACCTTCCCAATTAAAATGCGATGAATCTACATAAAAAATTGCATTTCATCCACCACCAAAAAAATCCACGACTAAAAAAGCTAACAGTTCCAATGTCAAGTCTACTCTTTCCTCAACGTTTCCCAGGAATATCAATAATAGCCAAAGAAAAAAAGTCTGCATATCGATCAAGTTACGCAACGCATATCTACGAAAATATTACATATGGAAGATACGAAGAAGAGAAAGTATATTTATAGACATCGAAACGATACGGGAAAATGTAATAAGTAAGAGATGACCGAGGTACCACCAGCAGGTATTGGAACGTTGCCCAAAAGTGCATTCGCACAATGTTTACATGGTCTCAGGGACACGGAAACGTATCTACGAACGTGAAGTTCGCTTTCGAAAAACCATCGTTTGCCAGATTCCGTTTCGAAGATTACACTTCGTGTGTTCTTCAGGCAAAGCTGATGGATTTTCACGAAATCGAACTTCCTCTCGGACACTTGTTGACGCGTGTATTCGTCATCGAGTACCAGTGATTTCATCTTTCAGTCGTTTTTAGAACGCATTGGCGTAACGTGGACTTTTGGGTTGGGTTCGAAGTGGGGAATTTTGGGAGTGATTATTTTTTTGGGGGAGTTTGGGGATTTGAGGTGGTTTGGAGGGATGTTAAGATGATGGGGATTTGGGGATTTAGGGATTAGGGGGTTGGGATTTAGGGGGCTGGGATTTAGGGGGTTGGGAGTTTGGGGATTTGGAGGAGTTGGGATTTGGGAGAGTGGGGATTTGGGAGATTTGGAATTTGGAAGGGTTGGCATTTGGAAGATTTAGAATTTGGAGGAGTTGGGATTTGGGAGATTTGGGATTTGAGAGAGTGGGGATTTAGGAGATTTGGAATTTGAGAGAGTGGGGATTTGGGAGATTTGGAATTTGGGAGGGTTGGCATTTGGAAGATTTGGAATTTGGGAGATTTGGGATTTGGGAGATTTGGAATTTGGAAGATTTGGGATTTGGAGGAGTTGGGATTTGGGAGATTTGGGATTTGAGAGAGTGGGGATTTGGGAGATTTGGAATTTGGAAGGGTTGGCATTTGGAAGATTTAGAATTTGGGAGATTTGGGATTTGGGAGATTTGGAATTTGGGAGATTTGGGATTTGGAAGAGTGGGGATTTGGGAGATTGGGAATTTGGGAGGGTTGGCATTTGGGAGATTTGGGATTTGGGAGATTTGGGAATTTGTGAGTTTGGGAAGGTAAGAATATAGGAATTAGGGAATCTGGAAGTTTGAAAGTTTAAGAATGTAAACATACCGAAACTCATTACAGCAATGTGATATATATACGACTTGAAAATTTATAGATGTAAAACTCGTATGTCTTGAAAACTTGTAGATGTAACAATTGTATGACTTAAAAACTAATAAACATAACTTTATGTCTTCATAAACAAGGAAATATGAAATTTGAGTTTTTATCACCACAGCTCTTCTAGAATATAACAATGTGTAAATTAAAAAATTTGCCAATAATTCACATCCTAACGTCACATTCCCTACATCATAACTCATTTCCTATTTCAGGAATGATCGAATTGAAAGTTAGAATTGAGCCAATAGTTACGCCAATGGTCGATTAGCGTACGAATGAATCAACCCCGTAACTCGATTAGAAAGCACGTGTAGCGGTCGTGGAATGCGGTATCCTAAATTCGTTCCGCCAGGCTTCGCACATTTTTCGCCAGCTCTATTTGTTTGATCTGGCTTCCGGTTGACGCTCGATCGGCTCGATTTCAAGAGCTCTCGAGAGATAAGCGGTTTCGAGAAGAGCCGGTATTGTCTTCCACTCGACGGCAAAGTCTACTTAAGTGCGCTAACGTTTGGGAGATTGAGTAGAACTTTTGTCGATGTTCTTCTGGCTCGATGAGAACATCATAACAGGTTTGCTACCTCTACTTCCATTCAAATCTACCTGTTCGATTCTCTATTAGAGCTTTGATTCTCAATTAGTATTTCAATTCTCAATTAGCTCTAATGAGTAACCGATGTCTCATTGATTAACTGATGATAGCATTCTTGTCATCAGAACGTCATGCTTCTACAAATTTCGAATCTGACCTGAACTGACACATAATTTTAGATCCATACTTAAACTCATAACCTAACTTCGCTTTTGTTTCTTTCGCTTAATTTCTAGCTGCATATGATAGAGTGATGAGATGGTTATAACATTAGGATTAAAGTTTGAAATCATAAGTAGACGTGTCAGGGTGTCTTACTTTCATTCTCATGAAGTATATCTTAATGATATTAACAATGTATGAAATTGTAGATGCTCCGAGATAATTGAATTCCTATCCTAAACGTCAGAAGGTGCAACGAGTTTCCTCGAACCGTCGCGCGGCTCCTCCGGTCCGAATATAAATCCCGGTTGGATCAACAGGCTCGCCTAACCTAAATCCTCGTTTCGCTCGAAGCCATCCAGCTGTTTCCCGAGTGCGTTCATTCATTCGTTTGATAACGATTGGCAAACGAGCATCGAGCTGCGGAACGGGTTTGTCCCGCGACCCGGTGCTTTCAATCGATATCGCCTCACCTCTATCATGTTCCATGCGCCCAAAAGCGAGTCCAGCTCGCTTCCCGCGTTCGTGCGATTTCAGCTTAAGGAAGCGACACTCGATCTGTCTGAATCTCTCGACGCCGATGCGATCCTTATCCCGGTCCTGCCGCGGGACTAAGGCCTCTCCGGGCCTCGCCCGAATCCTGCATGCTCCGCTCAGCTCGTCGATGCTGCCGGAACTTCTCACCCACTCGCGGACGGACACATACGAGCACCACGCGCCGCGCACAAAACCAGGGGCTACGCTAGCCCGGTCACCCTGTTCGTGTGCCCGGCGATGATCGCGGTCGCGTTTGAGCAACGATCGCTCGGATCGGCGCGGCTCGGTCCAGTCGTACGATCCCGCACGCGCATATTATACACCACCGGCCATTTCCCGCTCGTCCGCTTCGTCCGGCCCCGAAGAGCGCGGACAAAGTCAGCCAGCGATCACCAGGACGCGTTCGACGACACCCGGACCACGAACGCACCGAGAGGCAAACGGCCCAACCCCATCCAGCGGCTACGGACCGGTGCTGGACGTAGCGCGCAGATCAGCTCGGCGGATGCGCGACGGTCGATCACGCGTCAAGGGAAAGACAGAATCTCAATGGCGTCCCCTATGGGTGGGCTCCAGTCGCGCCGCTCTCCAGACTCCGTTGATCCTGTCCCATCGGGATTTCGTTCCTGACCGCGTCCTCCATCGACTTCCTACGCGGGACGAGTAGCAACGAGATCGTTTACGCTCGGTGTCCGTCGGATCGGAGATGTTCAACGGAGGACACCGGTGTTCCGAGGTTGCTCGCCGCGCTTCCTTCGGGCTGTTGCTCGCGTGGGCGGCAGAACACGGCGCCGTTCTCGCTACGTCGTCCGCTACGTTGACGGAGGTATAAATAGGTTTCGTGGCTGTCCGTTTGAAGCTGCGTGCAGGGCGCTGGCGCGGCTAGAACGCCGCTACCGCCGCCTCTC